TACTTTTTATTTTATGTGGTGCTGAGGATTGAATCCAGGGCCTGGCGCTTGCTAGGCGAGCACTCTACCACTGAGCTACAACCCCAGCCCCCTCCCCGCCCRTCTGTTTTTGTAGAGGAGCTTTAGTCCTTCAAGAAAAAAACCTGACACCCAGTTTTATTCTATATAGAATAAAACTCCACAATGGTACAATAAGTGTAAAATTCAGAAAATTTTTGCGTCATCTATAGAAATGATGTTGAGATTAATAAAAATTACATTTACTTCTTTTCAAGTTATTGATTGGCATAGAAAATGTTTTTTCTCTTGTGTTAAGTGTAGGCTAGGAATTCACTTGCATTGATTTTTGTGTGTATATACTTAGAACTATATTATCTTCTAAGTGTTATTTCAGGGTAGTAATCATTACACAAGTATTTAAAAAGTGTATTTTTAATTTTTTTATATTTTTTTTGGTTGTGATGGACCTTTATTGTATGTGGTGCTAAGAAATGAACCCAGGGCCTCATGCATGGCAAGCACACTACACTGAGCCACAACCCCAGCCCCAAGGATTTTCTTAACCTTTTAGTTTGAAGAAAAGTATTCTCATGCACCCATAGAGGCAGCAAGTCTGATAAAATAATTGCTGGTTCTTAAGGGTCAGCATGGGTCCAAAGGAGCCTTCTTTAAGTTGCACACAATGTATTTTTTTGTTATAAATCTCTTTTGTACAGACACCCAAGCTGGCGAAGTGAAGAAACTCAGGAACGGGAACGGTCAAGGACAGGAAGTGAGTCATCACAGACTGGAACCTCAGCCACATCTGGCAGAAGTAAGTCAGACCCTGGTGGGTATCACATTATTGCTATTTTCAATAAACTGCCCATAACGAAAGTATGCAGAGATTGTGCATTATTAAATTCAGCTAAATTCTGAGTTGCATGTCCTGATCTGGGTATTGGGAATTGAACCCAGGGGCACTTTACCATTGATCTATATCCCTAGATGGTTTTTTGTTTTGTTTTTAATTTTTAATTTTGAGGTAGGGTCTTGCTAAGTTCCTGTGGCTGGCCTTGTATTTGGGATCATCCTGCCTCCCCAGTTGCTGGTATTACAGTCATCCACAATCAAGCCCAGCACATAACTATTTGTTAACATACATGCAGTCGTTATTTTTCCTATTCTCTGTGCATCAGTAAAGCATTTTCTTAAAATTACATATGTGAGGACTGGGGATGTGGCTCAAGCGGTAGCGCACTCACCTGGCATGCGTGCGGCCCGGGTTCAATCCTCAGCACCACATACAAACAAAGATGTAATGTCCGCCGATAACTAAAAAAAAATAAATATTAAAACTCTGTCTCTCTTTTTAAAAAAATTACATATGACAATCATAGTTTAGGGATCATTTCATTGATTAGCAGCCAAAATAGGTTCTTCATTTAAGAATGATTATGGAAAGCATTAAATGTGGATGTGGACCATTTTCTACCCTGTTGTGAATCCTGGTAGGTGCTAAGAATAAGTCTGTCTTGTGTCTTGTTCTTTCATGTCTTGTCTTGATCTTTCCACTGTTTTGGGGTGAGACTTTTACTGGGGATTGCACTCAGGGGTACTTGACCACTGAGCCATGTCTCTAGCACGCGTGCCCCACCCCCCACCCCCCCCCCTTTTTTTTTTTTAAGAGAGTATCTCACTGAGTTGCTTAGTGCCTCACTTTTGTTGAGTCTGTCTGGCTTTGAACTCTCCATCCTCCTGACCCGGCCTCCTGAGCTGCTGGGATTATAGGCGTGCACCACTACCCCCAGCTGAACTCCTTCCCACCCTTGACTTCACAGATGCACGAAGGAGAGAGAGTGAGAAGTCTCTAGAAAATGAAACACTCAATAAGGAGGAAGACTGTCACTCTCCAACTTCTAAGCCTCCCAAACCTGATCAGCCTCTAAAGGTAATGCCAGCCCCTCCACCAAAGGAGAATGCGTGGGTGAAGCGAAGTTCTAACCCTCCTGCTCGATCTCAGAGCTCAGACACAGAGCAACAATCCCCCACAAGGTGAGTCAGCTTGAAAGAGCAGCTGGTTAGCCTGGGATAATAAATGTAATACAACTATGGAAAATGTCCTTTGGATGATGGACTGTGTATAAATGTTCTCTTGGTTCTCAGTTCAGATTCATAGGTATACTGCTGTTGGCTCATAAGAGCCAATTCCATTTTCTGGACTTTTGATAGCCAGTCATCACTCTAGTGTCTTGAAGTCAGTCATGGTGGGAGTATTTTGCCACATGAATCTGCAAATGCTTACATGAATTACTCCTTTCCCTGCCACATATTGGCAGTATAGCAATGAGAGTTCACTTCACTGAAGCCTTAGATCTTTAAGTCTTTCCTCTTTTGTATATAAGGGGTACTACCACTAACCTTGTACAATTGTGATAGAAGAGATTCTAAGTAGCAGTTAATGAGCATATTATTGCTTTCATTTTTATTTATTTTAATTTTTATTTTAGTAGTCTATAACATTAACAATGGGACTTCTTATTTTCTGTAAAGCTTACTGCATGTGCAGAGTAATCGTAAGTTTCTTACATGTTCTTTTCCCTAAAACAAGGGATGATTGTGATCATATTTCCCTTCTAGTGGTGGGGGGAAAGTAGCTCCAGCTCAGCCATCTGAGGAAGGACCCACAAGGAAAGGTAAGACCATACCTAGGGTAAAATGTTTTCATCTAGAGGGCTAAATGAAAAGACATCCATAATAAACCCCCAGACCAAGAATCAAGAAGCTTGGATCCTTGTCTTTATTTATTTATATTTATGTGGTGCTAAGGATTAAACCCAGCGCCTCACACATGGTAGTTAGGCAAGCGCTTTACCACTGAGCCACTGCCCCAGCCCCAACCTGGGATCAGTGTCTCTTGCTTTCCCAAAAGCTTTGTGTTGAAACTGTTAGATATCTACCTTTTCCTGCCAGGAGAGGGCAGGAGTGACCTCTGCAGAGAAAGTGTGAAGCCTTGCCCTTTCTTGGTAAAACATTTCTTTGGAAGCAGGGAGAAATTAGACGGAAATTAACATATTTATAGCAGGGTAAGTCCAGATTGGAAATGTCACCAAGAGCAAGGTCAGAGTTACTACAGAACATCATAGCCCTTGTTTCCAGATAGCTTTTTCAGATTAATAAAGCCTATAAGTGGGACTTTTTTCTACTTGAGGATAACCCAGGACGAGAAGAGTGGTTATTTCACTTGTCTTTGTTTTTGTATTTCTGCTCAAGCAGACGATAATAAAATAGATGGAATGAGTGTCCCAAAAGGCCAAACTGGGAACTCCAGCCGTGGTCCAGGAGATGGAGGGAACAAAGATCACTGGAAGGAGTCAGATAGGTATGCATATTTTCTTTCTCTTCATTTGCAAATTTTTTATGTGGTTTTAGATGCATGGGTCTTTGTGATAGAAGTTCTTGGTTAGCCAAACACTGCCAGATTTCTCATTTCAAACAAACTAAAGTCAACCCAAAACAAACAGTTACATTAAGAGAATGTGATGTCCAGATAGCACGAACAGTTGATAAGGATGTACTTGTTTTGGGTCAAAACTACATTCTTGTGTCTCTGTATGTTGGGGGAGTCCCCTCCCAAAGATGTGATTTTATGCTTACATCCCTGCAGGAAAGAGGGCAAAAAGGATCAAGACTCCAGATCTGCACCTGAGCCAAAGAAACCTGAGGAAAATCCAGCCTCTGTAAGTGTTACTGGCTTAACCTCAACTTCTCAGCTTCCTTTGGCCATTGGCCTTCTTTACATTTGGGACTGCAGAGTGGTTGGAAATAAGACATTGGTCTTAGTTCAGACTAATGAAAAAAGTTGAGATGAGCTTTCCCCCCCCTTGTCACATTTACTGCTCTCATGCTCTTGCAAGGTAAAGGTGATGTAAGATAGAACACATGTGCTTCTGGCCCTCTTTCTAACAACTCTGCTAGAAATGCTATGAGCAAGCCAATGGGTGTAGTCTTTACTGTCATCCCCATTTGCCAAAGTATTTGCATTCTGTCTTGGATTTTGATGTGGGAATCCAAGGTCTTCGTTATCTTGTCACTGTCTTCTGTTACAGAAGTTCAGTTCTGCAAGCAAGTATGCCGCTCTCTCTGTGGATGGTGAAGATGAAAATGAGGGAGAAGACTACACTGAGTAGACCTCTGCGTCCTGTGCTTTCTCCTAGTCTCTCCACCCTGGAACATTCAAGAGCAAATCAAACCTCTATCCAGACAAGACAAATAAAACTCACCATCTCCTGGAGACCTTTCTTAACTTTTTTTTAAAAAATGAAATGAAATTCTTTTGCATGCTGCTGCAGCCTTTAAAGTATTGAAGTTACCGGAGAATCGCCAATGTAGCCAGAGAGACAGAGACTACAGCTTTTTAATGGAAAAGTTGTGGTGTGTTCTTACGATACCATGCAGTTGCCTGTGTGATTAGTGCCTAGGGGCCTCCATTTAGAAGAAATGGTAATGACAGTGGTAAAATGTCTGGATTGGTTGGGCAGTAGGGGAGGTAGAGGTATAAGGAAGAGTGAGATTTCTACCTTTTAATTCTTATTCTATTGTGGCATATATGAATTCTCAAACATTATCTGAATAAATTTTCCATCCTTGGAAAGGTAGATTTAGTCTCAAATTGTTTTAGTCTCCAGGAGGCTGCCAGCCCTTCTTCTTACTTTAATTCTGAGTTACTGGGGCCAGCCTAGGGGGAATTCCTTTATTTTTTTACCCCCCAGGGGGGTAGTTGGGAGTGAGTCTACAGGCCACTAAAGAAGAGGACTGCTTGGGGACCAAAATAAATGGGGAAATCGTGGTTTGAAAAGCTTTTGGGAGGTGATGGATTAGTTTGCACTGGGTAGTAGGTGTGACCTCCAGTAAACACTTTATTTCCTGGAGCAGGAAGCACTTAGGGTCATGGGAATTCCCAGTCTTTTGTGCGTCCTGGTTTTGCCCTTTCTAAACCGCTATCCTTTTTAAAAGCTCAAATACATCCACATTCTGTTGAAACCTTGAAGCTTTAAAAAAAAAATTCAGACTCTTGTCATTTCATGTTCTTCATACTACTTTCACCTCCTAAAAAGCAATCCATTTAATTCACGGATCTGCTCTCTTAGGCATTTTACATCTCAGCCACTGGAAGCTGTGACCTGAGGAATCACTGCTTTTCTCAAACAAATCAGCTCCTTGATGTCTTTTGATTCTCATTCCTTCCCTCCATCCATGCCTGCTCCTGCTGCTTTGACCCCTCTTACAGATCAGACTAGTCTAGAATTGATGGTCTTGGGTGGTGAATAAGGATGGGTAAACAGAGACAGTTAAATTGGAAGACTTTCTTAAGACTTGGGGGGTTTTTACAAGTTTTCTTCTCTCCACTGAAATTCCACACCAGTGCTTGGATTTATAATGTGGCCTAGACCAATGTGTGGTTATTTTGCTTTTCGGAGTTTGTTTTTTATCTTCCTATGAGAGAATAAATGATAATGGAAAGAACTATTTAACAAGGTCCTGGTTTCTCTTGTAACAGTAGCTTAATTTGTCTGCTTTTATGTGCACCTTTGTAGGGGTCAACTAGGTAGGTGGATTCTTCCCCCTCATGGGCAGTGTTGGTACATGCAGACAGATGACACCTTGGTCTCTTGTTTGCAAGCCCTTCTGCCTTCAATCTTAGTCTAAAGCCTGGCCAGCCTGCAGAGTATTGGTCTGTGTGCTGCAGCAGTGGGCATAAGGAACCATTTACCCAGAGGGCAAAAGGCATGTCCAGGGAATTAACCTGAAGTAATTGACAGGGTCAGCTAGTAACTAAAGTGGGCTTTTAGAGAGAACCAAGATCAAACAGGTTTTTTAAACGATTGGTTGCAGATAATGGAAAGGTAGAGTTTGCCTTTTTCATGTCTACTCCCAGATAGTTATATCCCAAAAAAGTGCTGTTTTGTCCCACTCCCCTACCCTACCTAGCCCCTGTTAAAATAGAAACAGGGGTTGACTTTTGTCCCACCCTGAATACATGTAAAATTTGTACAAAAATATCTTCTATGAAAATGATTTGTAATCTGTAGACTTACTACCTGGAAGATGTGTTGAGATGTAAAATCCCATCCTTTGGGTTGTGGGTTTTTTGTTTTCTCCAAATAAATCTGATCTTTAAAGTTCATTTTAATGCTGAATGAAATTCATTTGACATACTCACTTAGTGCTTTTAAATTAATTTCCCAGTGTCAACCTGCTCCCTGTCCCCCACTATCTCAGGTTATTCAGCACTGGATGCCATTTTGTGCAAAGGCAGAGGGTGGGGTTACAAAGGAAATCCATTTCAATGTTTATGAGGCCCCAGAACTGGGAATTTGCATCTCGGCTCCCTCTGCTGGATTTTTCCTTGTGTTCTATTGCCACGTACTCCCATAGCCCTGTGCTACAGGACTGGTCATAAGATGTGATCCTTAGGCAGTTCTTCCTCAAGGCCCCACCCTCACTTGACAGTCTACCAGGCCAAGCTGCTTCACTCTGGTGGCTGCAGTTCAGGATGACAGGCTGCTCCTGAGTCCATACCTGAGATTTAATGGGAATTTTCCGAACAACTAAGGACAGGCTGGTCATTGTTGCAAGGCAGGAAAGGGGTTAGGACAGTGATAGAGAATCTGAGGTCACAAATGGGTGGAGCACAGAAAGGAGCCCAGTCTGGGGATGAAGCCAAGTGGAAGGAGTGGATGTGAGGAGAACTGGGAACACAGGTAGCTTTGCTGGCCAGTCCAAACAGCTGCTTTCTTAGTTCCTAGCAAGTCCAGTGACTGGTGTTCTCCAAAACTGGCAGAGTTAAGGAATTACAGGCTGTGATACGAAAGCTACTGAAGTGTGGAGTTAGGCAGGGGAGACAATGGTGCAACTGCTAACTGGGCACCTGTGCAATCTCTATGGCAAAGCTTATTGCAGTTCTACCCCAGGAGTCTGTCTCAGATCGCAGTGTTCCTTTTCAGCCACTCTAGATGTGAAGAGGTCTGGGTGAAAAATGGAAAGCTTGGTTAAGGTAGGGAAGACTTATCAAGAGACTCATGTTGGTGGTACACATGGTAGGAACTCCCTGGACTGTTCCCAAGAGGCAACTTAAAGTTGGCTCTGGCATGGTCGCATCCACAAACATAACCACGTGGATCCTCCCCAAGTCAGCCCTCTGCCAACCTCCTGTAAATCCTGAGCTAGCAAAGGTGGGGACAGTGCAAAAGGGATATCCTCAGAAGGGTGGACATGGGGCTGGCTGCCTTTTGTACTCTAGGGCAGAGCCTGGTTTCTTTTAACAGAATCGAACACTGTGCTCTGGATCCCAAGGCAATGACAGTCCCAGTTTGTCCACCTGGAGTGCTACAAGCTCAAAACATCTGGTTTCTTGGTAAGTGAGCACTACACATCTGCTCCAGGGAAGCAGTATTTATCAAAATAAGTCTCAGTTTCTCAGCAACCATTGTAGCCTCTAGGGCCACAAGTGAAGGGGGAGGGGGGCTTGCCTTCTCTCACCCTCCTGCCTCCCCAAAAAGAAGTCTGGAAGAGACTACTGCTCCCCGCCCAGCTGCAGCAACCTCATAGTTGGACAATACACCCTCTGTCCTCAGCCAAGAGATCCGCCTCTGGAGTCGGTTCTGCCCCTTCCCCCGCTCTTCCTGGTTCCCAGCGCCCAAACCCTCCTCATATCTGACCCAGTGGTCTTCCACCAGGATAGCCCCATACCCTTAAAACCCTATTAACTGTTACCTCACCCCAAGGACCTGAGTGCACCCAGCTACAGGCATGCGTTCATCCCAGACCATGGAAGAGGAGGTTCCGCTTTTGGTACCAAGATGGGCCTCCCTCTGCATAGTCAAGGTAAGAAAACCTGCATGGAGGGAGGTCAGAGGGTATTTCTGAAGTCCTATCAACAGTAGCCTGGCTTTCTCCTCCTCCCCCCTTTCCTTGTGAAGCTACTTCTGAGCTGATAATCAAGATGCCAGGCACAGTGACACATGCCTGTAATCTCAGCAACTCAGGAGGCTGAGGCAGGAGGATTGCAAATTATAGCCTCACAATTTAGTGAGATAAACTCAAAAACAAAAATAGCTGGGGAAGTATCTCAGTGGTTGAGTGCTCCTGGGCTCAATTCTCAGTACAAAAAAAAAAAAAAGCCTGCCTAGTTCCATGAATACCCCCACCCCAAGCCACCACTGTCAGTCTCACCAGCTTCCTTCCTGCATACTCCTCCATCCCCAGGTTGACAGTAGAACTCAAGCCTGGGAGGAGTTCAGCCACCCATCTTGTGACCCCTTATAATTCCTTGGAACCTCAGAAGTTCCTCTTACAGCAGGGTAGCAATGCCAGTAAGAATGAGGTTTTAGCTCTACCCACCTCTCGGATCCAATCTAATTCCTTTTTGCTTTTAAAGATTAGAATTTAGTTCCATAGCGTGCTCGCTGAGCCCAGCCAAGACCCCTGAGGAATGCTGAGAAGGGCAAGGTGTTCAAAGAGCTAGCTGCAGCCTTCAAAGAAAAAACATTTCCATACCTCCTGTATCTCGGTTACTTAATTAAATTTGCCAAAACACATGGAATGTCCTTCAGCCTTGCCCTTCGCCACCCCAACCCCGGCCTCTTTCCCCAGTTCCTGCCCCCAACTTCTGCCTCTCCCAGTGCTTCCCCATCCATTCCCTCCCCAGGCTCTAACCTCTGAAACTGCCTGCTGAAAACTATCACAGCCAAGAGCAGGAAGATCAAGGCTTCCCAGTCCTGGCCACATCCACCCCCTCCCAAACGCCAGTCTCTGGGAGGACCCACATTGTCAACATGCCCTGCTTGACAGCCTATTCCTGCCACCAGACTGGAATTCGGTGCTCCAACCCCTTGTAATCAGAACCAGACTTCCCAGCCTTTGCCAAAGACAAGATGAGCACAGAAAGGACTTAGCTGAGAGATGAGACAGGGAGGCCCAGAAAGCCTGAGAGTGGTGAAGAGTACTTTGAGCAGGTACTGGACATTAAGCTGCACACTGGCTTCTCAGACCCCACCTCCAGTTTTCATCATGGAAACCCAGTGGAGAGGGTGACATCAGGGAAATCGTTTCAGGAAGTGCTCACTGCAAAGAACGCTAAGGAATCAGAAATGGTAATGGGTTCCAGCTTCTAGGAAGATCCCCATCTTATCCCTGTAGAACGCGTAGATGACTGGCGCTGCCTGGGGGCTGGGGGTGGGGAGCACTTGAACCTGTTGTAGAGTTCTCAGCTGAGTCCTTTTGGGAAAAGCGCACAGAAATCTCCTGTGGGGCAAAGGATCAGGAAGCAGCATCCAGCAACCTGGGACATGAGAACACCAGGTGTCTTCATCTGATTTCCGGCGCCCCGACCAGGCGCAGGCAGTCCTGATGAAGGTCGGGCGGATTCCCATATCACTCCGGGGAGGGGCCGGCCAAGAGAGGCTGAGGCTTCCAGGCTGTTCTCTATCCCCTTGTTTCTCATCCATTCTAGCCCTATTTCTTCTGCGCCTGTCTGGCTTGCATGCTTCTCTCTTCGCCTGTATGCCACCGGTCAGTCTCTTCCTCTGCTGTGTGTCGCCACGTCGGGATCTCTCCCTCTCTGAGGTCGGCCCGACCCTTCTCCAAATCTCTCCCTAGCTCTACCTCTTGTCCACGAGGCTCTGCCGGTCCCGGCCTCAGCCAGCCCGCGCGCTCCTTCCCTCCGCTCTTTAAGAGTGTGGATTCGCGGGAGAAGGTGGGGAGAAAGGAGGCAGCCGGGGGCGGGGAACGGGCGGAACGTGGGGATTGGAGCCCGGGGAGAAGGAGGGGAGCAGAAGGGCGGGAGGAGGCTCAGGGCGCGGCGGGGGCGGGAGGGAGCCAGCCGAGCGCCCGCTCCTCGCTACTGCCTCCTCCGGGACCCACGGTGTGGCCGCCGGGATGGGATGGCCCGGGGGCCCTCCCTGCTGCTGCCCCGCCCCGCCGCGCCCCCGTCCCGCCAGGCGCCCCCCACAGGTGAGTGGCCGGGTTGGAGGACCCACGGGCAGGCGGCAGCCTCTGCGTCACACCATGCGGCAGTTCCAGGGGCCGGGCGCCAGGGGGCGCAGGGCAGGGCCGCGGGCGCCCTAGGGCCACAGCGAGGTAGAGTAGTTGGGCCCGGAAGGTGACCAAGGGGCGGGGCGCAGCCACATCCCCACTAGCTGGGGTCACCACGCCTTCCCGCACACTGTGGAACGCAGTTGCACAGGTCCGGCCACGCACTGCGCGAGCCCCCGCCACCACTCAGCCACTCAAGCACGGGGCACACGTTGTGCACAGCCCGTGCAGCTGGCAGCCGTGTTTGCAGGGTGGCCCTGGCCGGCCAGAGCCGGCCAGTGTTTACTGCTCCTCCTTCCATCTGGGACACTGAGGCAGAAAGCAGGCACAGATAAGGCTGACTTGCCTCCCCAGGCCAGGCATCAGCCCCCCAGGTCCCTATGGGCACACCCTGCCTTCCCTCCTCTCCTTCCCTGGGCCTCACCCCTCCTCCTCCGAGGCCAGCTCCCAGCCTCTCATCCAACCACAGCTATTTCCAGGAAGGGGGGGGGTGTGGGTGGAGGGGTTTCTCCAAACAAACCCAAGGCTTCAGAGTGAGAGGGGGCCCTGCTGGGGAGAGGCAAACAGGCTTTGGAATGTTCCGGTCAGGAGAAGGATGAGGGTCTAAGGGAGTCTGATGGTGCCTTTTCAGGTGTCCCCCAGTGAGCTACTTTTCTTCACCAGCCTCACAGGGATCCTTTCCCCTTTTCTCTTCAGAGTTGCTCTGATGGGTGGGAAAGTACCCAAAGTCACAAGGATTCTGACCAGCCAACACCAACTTATTGAGTCCCACCTCTCGCTGCAGTCAATGCTGGGTCCACCTCCTTGTTGGGCCTGAGTAGGAAGTGTTTAGACCAGTGAAGGTCAGAGGATTTGGGGTGATATATTCCATTGAGGGGACTTTGAGTCCTTCTAGAAGCAGCATGATGGAGACGTCCTGGTCAGGGCTGTGTGCCATAGGAGCAGAGGAAAGGGCGGGGCAGAGAAAAAACACCCTCACCCACCAGCCACAGTGCCCCATCCTCCCCCAGTAAGGATGTGTTGGACCATGCTAGGCCCAGTTGCCCACCTAGCCAGGGTCCTAGAATATCTAGTACACAGCCAGGGCTATGCAGGAGCAAGCACTGTTGCAAAGCCAATTCTCAGTTACAGACTGGGGACCCAGGCCCTGCCACATAGATGCTATTCTGGCCAAGCAAGATACCCTAGGGACAGACTTCCTGGTCTAGAGAATTGGAGCTTCCAGGGAGAAGCCTCAGGCTAGACCAGTCCAGGCAGGTCCTCGGAAATGTCCCAAGTGGGCTCCCAAAGCAGAGCTCATCCTGGAGAATGCAGGCTTGGACCAGTGCTCCATCTGGAAGGGCATGAGGGAAGAGGGAAGTTGAAGGCCCCCATGGGAGAAGCCAGAGCTGGGGGAGCTGCCTGAGCACTGGGACATTCAGTAAATACCATGCAAATGAGAGGGGGCACATTTGCTCCAGTGACAGCTACAGCCAGTTCTAAAGGGCTGCTGTCCAGGGCTTGGGGTTGAAGACCCCTGGGTCATTAACCCCTATGTTTTAGGATGATTACTCCTCACCCTTTCCAAGGCCCCAACCACCTCCTTCCCTTGACTCTTGGGACAGGAAGTTGGCCATGTTCCCAGGAGGGAGGCAGGAGGCCCTGAAGCAGGGTGGAATATGTGTTGGGAGGGGGGCCTCCTGTCCAGTCCTCAGGCCCAGGGACAGTTCTCAGGTCCTGAGGAAGGAGAGCAGAGCCAGAAGAGCCATGAAGGTAGTACTCAAGCTTGGGGACTGGGGTGGAGAGTCTCAGGTGCAGGGCTTGGGATCTGTGAGATGGAGCCTGAAGCAAAGTCAGGGACATGTCTAGAGCAGAGTAGCTGAGAGTCCTCAGAAGGGCTTCACATGCCTTGGACTGCAGTTTGGATCCCCATAGGCAGGGCAGTATTCCAGCTGAACCTAGCAGTGTGTATTTTCTTTTTCCTACTTCACAACCAGTGAAACTGAGGCAGGAAGTTGGCACTCAGACCCATTTTTCCTGATCCTAAGGATACTGAATCCTGGGCGGCAGGGTGGAAGTTCCCAGCTCTGATCCCTCCTCACAGGAAGTCCCAAAGGAGCCTAGAGTTCAGGCCAGAAGGCTGGCTGGAACGCTGTGTTCCCCACTGGCCCTGGAGCCCTGCCCTGAGACCTTAATTCCCACCCTGCCCCACCAGGGGTTGATCTCAGGGCTGGATCTCAGGACAGATCCCTGGATAGGGTGGATCACTGGGTCTGGGATAGCTCCAGAGCCTGAGGGAGCTGACACTCCCAGCAGGGTAGATCCTGGGAATCTGATCTCCTGGCCTCCTCCACATCCTCCCCCCCACCACTTCCTGGAGCTGCGACCTGCCCCCTTCCCGCCTGCACTTCCCTCCACTTCCAGGGCCAGGCTTCTCCTCACACCAGCCAGACAGCCTGCCCTCCGCCCAGGGGAAGCGACTGCCTCCGCCAGGCTGCTTCCAGGAAGCCCCCGGCCAGGCCCCAGCATTGTTCAGGCCCTGCGGCCAGCACCCCAGCCAGCCGGACACCATGAAGTCCAGCAGCCCTGTGGAGAGGCTGCTCAGAGCCCTGGGGAGGAGGGACAGCAGCCGGGCCACCAGCAGGGTAGGAGTGCCTGCCGGCTGGGCAAAGGTGGGGCAGGGGCGGAGGTGTGGGCAGAGCGGGAGGGACAGGATTCAGGCCAGACCCTCTTCCCAGCTTCTTCTGCCCTCTCCTTTGCCCAGCATCCCTATTCCTCTGCCCCTTAGGGTGGCAGAGGGCTAAGTGTGGGCAGCAAATGTTTGGGTTAGAGTGGATCCTGCCATTTGCTTTGGCTTCTCTAGCCTTTACTGCCCTGGAGTCAGCCCTAGAGCAGTCTTGTCCCCCAAAACTGAGCCCTGAAGTCCCACTTCACTGTTGTACTTCGCCAGGCACTATCCTGGAGCTCCAGAGCAGGGCTGGCATCAGGCCTCTTCCCTGTCCCAGAAAGTTTGGGGGAAATAGGGTGGAGGTGGCAAAGAAATGAGGAGAGGAGGCCAGGTCTTGGGAGAGCTTTAGACTGGAGGTGGTCTTCCCCGGGGCTCCTCTGTATGTGCCGTTAATGCTGCCAAGTGCACCCAAGTGTCCTCTTGGATTTCACAAGGTTAGTGGGGCCCAGAACAGTTCCAAGGATAGTCAGAAGGCCAGAGGTGTTCCTGGGTCCCCATCACTCCTCTTCCCAATTTCTCATCTTGACCCTGAAGAGGGAGCTTTGCACAGCATACACAGTACTAGGTCAGGCAGGTCAAGGAGAGGAGCAGGGCAGCAGAGTCTTGAACTCCAGAGGAGAAAATGGGTAGAAGAGAGGCAAGCTGTCCCCAGACAGGAGGGAGGAGTGAACCAGCCATGGGAACCTTCCATGGGATGGCTCCGAGATAGGCCTGGGCCATCCAGGACATTCCATCTCCTGCCTCTTTGTACCTCTGGGTGGGAGGGGCCAGAGGGGGAATCTGGTCCATCTCTTCCCTCTTCTGTCAATGCTTCAGAGCCATTTGAACACCAAGTGACAGGGAGCTCAGTATAGCCCCAGGCAGCAAGGCAGCTGGACATCTCTCCCCAGTGTCATTCCTGTCCCTCCCCCCTCCTTACACAATTGCTGTCTGACGCCACAATGCACAAAGAGTAAACATGTTGTTCTGACCATGGGGGAGGGAGGCAGGTCAGCTGCCTGGAGCGTGGGGACAGGGGAGCAGGACTGCTGAGGCCACTCCTGGCAGCTTGGCTCAGGCTGGGTGACACACATCTGGACCCTCCACATGGCACACAGGCCTCCCTCTGGGGAAGGCAAGATGGGAGGAGAGTCAGCACCCCTGCCCCACCATGAGGAAAGCCCTAGGGTTTGATTGACAGTAATGAGGGCATCACATAGCAGGGCCACGTGAGGGGCGTAAATGATTCCTTGGGGAGGAGCTGACCTAGCGAAAGTGACATGAAGCAAGGGGTCACATTCCAAGCACTGCTGAGGACAGGCCTCATGACTGGCCTGAAATAGCTGTGGCCAGGTGTGTCCTATGAGATTGAGGGCCTGATGGGGAAGAGGAAGGAGGAAAGCCGTGCAGTACTAAGGCAAGGACTCCACCCAGTCCTGGAGATGGGCCCCATTGTGGCATCACACCTCTCTCTGTCCCCTGTTCACAGCCTAGGAAAGCTGAGCCACATAGCTTCCGAGAGAAGGTTTTCCGGAAGAAAGCTCCAGTGTGTGCAGTGTGTAAAGTGACCATCGATGGGACAGGCGTCTCCTGTAGAGGTGAGGCGCTCTGCCCTGTGACTCTGAGATACCCCCACACACACACCACACCCAGCACCACTGTGCTGCTCTTGGTAGGCACCAGGGTAGCCAGGAGGCAACTGCCTCCCACTTTAGCAGCCCTGGCTCCCTATGACACACACCTATAACCCAGGACACTACCTTCCCATCCTGACCTGTGACTGGGAGACTTCCCTCCCTCTTCCTCCATCCACCCTGGAACATGGCCTCTGACTACTCCACTCCTTAACCTGGGCAGTAGAACCCCTCTGCCATGTTCTTCCCTCAAACCCTGCCCCTGTTTCCCTACCCCTGGCAGTCCAATAGATCTGGAGTCCCAGAAGTCCCAGGGTCTGCATCTAGGACCTAGGAGATGGTAGATGATCCCACAGAGCCCTGCTAACTCCTCTCCTCCCTTTCCCTGTCTAGTCTGCAAGGTGGCCACACACAGAAAATGTGAATCAAAGGTAGGTATCTGGTTCTACCTGATGGTAGGGGTGGCGCTGGAGTTCCTTTCTCCTCCCCAGATAGACTGCTCAGCCACACTTTACCCACCCTCCACCCCTGTCATCTAACCATTGGTGACCCACTCCTGGATGGTAAGGGTGCTGTGCTGGGCCCTTTAAGAACCACCCTACTCCACCCCTGGAGGGCTGGCCCAGGCGGGTGGACAGTGAGACAGCGTTTGTCTTGGTGCTGTGCCCAGGCTGCAGCTGGCGAAAGGATGGGGGTTGGGGAAGAGGAGGAGAAGGAGGAGGAGGAAGGGTGGGGTGGGTGGGGAGGGAGTAGGACTGCAAAGACTGGGCAGCCGGATGGGCTGTGCCTTCCCTCTGGGGAAGGGTCCTCAGGATGCATGGGTGGGTCTTGTCCTGGGTCCTGGAAAGACTGGCCCTTTCCAGGCACATGCTGTAGATGGCACCCACTATCCAATGGGAACCTGAGACAGCCCCATCTCTGAGGAGCTTTCAGGTTGTCCTTCTGCTGTGCAGGGTGGGGGGTGTCCCACCCTTGGAGCTGGCTTGGGGGAGCAGTGTGCCCAGGGGCGGGGTCTGCCGGTGAAAGAGGCCAGTGTCCGCCCCTGGCCATGGCCGCYTGCATGGCTCTATATATAACTCCTGTCCTGCAGCTGGATGAATGGGGGGTCTGTTGGGCAGGGGGCTGAGAGCCAAGAGCAACAAGTGGGGGGCCTGTGGGGTGGGGGACTGAGAAGCCAGAGGGAGGCTCCCTTAAATAGAGGAATCTCAGCGGGAGCCTGTGCCCATCCACTGACAGCCCCTCCACCTTCTTGCTGAAGCTGAGGGGTTGCCCATCCTCAAGCCCAGGAGGGTCCATGGGCCCATTTCACCCACTGCTTGGGTCTCTTTCCAGGTGACTTCCTCCTGTCAGGCCCTGCCCCCTGCAGAGCTGGTGAGTGTGCTATGGGATGCATCTGGGAAGGCAAGGAACCTGCCCTGGTGTCCAAAGGTCTGGCTGCCTGTGAGAGGGCCCCCAGGAGGTTACATAGATTGAAGTGTTGTGGGTATTGGGCACCCTGATCAGAAAGGAAAAAATGAGCCCTCTGCTGTTCTTGTCCTCTTGGGCTTTCTGGGGGTTGGACTCCATTCCCCTTGCCCAGAGGGTGGACACTGGTCTGCCCTCCCCCTATTTCCAGGCCCAGACTGGTCCGGGTCCCTGCCCTAACCCCACCTTTTCCTCCCCCATCTCCCTCTAGCGGCGAAACACGGCCCCAGTGAGGCGCATAGAGCACCTGGTAAGGTGATGTGGTAGGGGGTGCCGGGGGTGCGCGTGGAGAGAGAATAGGTAGCTCTGGGAACCAGAACCCAGGTTTCCTGAGGACAAAAGTGCATGGAACCCTGGATTGGGAAAGCTAGAATGGGGGCACCCAAAGAGATGTCCTTACACAGTTTCTGATCCTCCAGGGATCCACCAAGTCTCTGAACCACTCAAGGCAGCGCAGCACTCTGCCCAGGTGAGTGGGAGAGGGGCAAGTCCATGTGACCCTCCTCCTCTGCCAGCCCACACGTCAGCCCATGGCAGTGTCCTACAACAAAACTCCTGGGAATAGCCCTCATCCCTAAACGAAACTCTCCCTTAGGGCCCAAGCAGTCTCACCTGTCATCTCCAGACACCCTCCCATCACCTTGCCACCCCCCTCTTCCCTGCCCCTTTCTCCGCAGGAGCTTCAGCTTGGACCCACTCATGGAGCGGCGCTGGGACTTGGACCTCACCTACGTGACAGAGCGTATATTGGCCGCCGCCTTCCCTGCTCGGCCAGATGAGCAGCGACACCGGGGCCACCTGCGCGAGCTGGCCCACGTGCTGCAATCCAAGCACCGGGACAAGTACCTGGTGAGGGACCCGGCCGGCCGGAGCCAACCAATGAGAAGGCTGAGAGGTCCACATGGGCGGGGCTGCTCACTGACGTCAATCCCTGAGGGGAGGCCGCTGGGCAGCTTGGAGTGCAGGGGCGGGGCCAGGATGGAGTTGGTGTTGAATCCTGGAAGGTCGCCATGGGACCCGGCTTCTTACTGTGGGGCCATCTCCATCGCTCCTGGCTGTTGGAGGTCACTGCATCTAAAGGTTCCCCTTCATTTCAGCTCTTCAACCTTTCAGAGAAAAGGCATGACCTTACCCGCCTGAACCCCAAGGTAGGGAAAATGATCTGTTTAGACATTAAACTGAACCAAACCCACCCCAGAAGATCCCAGATTCCCCATTATTGATAGAAGCAATTAGTATCTACTTCATTCTTAAGCATTCTTATGACTTAAGGTACCCCAAAAAGTAGTGCAGGAGGTATCAGCTCACTGTCAGTAAAGAAAATGTGAGGCCGTTGTGGACAACTAGCAGGCCCCCAACCTTGCCCCCAACCTTGTCCCTAGGCCCCTGAATCTTGTCCCTTTTCTGCCCCACCCATCCCTCTTTGTTAGTGGCCTTCCCCCCAGCTACACCCCTCCACTCCCCAGGTCCAGGACTTTGGCTGGCCTGAGCTGCATGCCCCACCTCTGGACAAACTGTGCTCCATCTGCAAGGCCATGGAGACCTGGCTCAGTGCCGACCCGCAGCACGTGGTGGTACTATACTGCAAGGTGAGCTAGAACCGCCAAGTCACAAAGCAGGGGCCTCCTCATCCTGGAGGCCCAGGAGGCCCTCTATCCCTGTCTCTCTGTCTCTCAGGGGAGCAAAGGCAAGCTTGGAGTCATCGTGTCTGCCTACATGCACTACAGCAAGATCTCTGCGGGGTGAGGACCCCAGCACCTCAACCGCCCCTTCCCCTCTGTAGCTGGATCTCTTTGTTCAAGAGCCCCTCCCTGTAGATTTGGTTTCTGTCCCTCTTTGATCACTTGCATATCATTGCAGTCTCCAGCAGGTGCTCTCTATTAGTTTCCTAGGGCTACTATAACAAAGTTTCACAGACCGGGTGGCTTAAAATAATCAAACTTTATTACCTCACAGTTCTAAAGACTAGAAGTCCAAAATCACCGTGTCCGGGTTTGTGCTGTGAACCTGGGTACAGTTTTCCTCTGCCTCCTTCTAGCTTCTGGTGGTGGCTGGCAATCCTTGGCATCCCTTGACTAGCAGCTGCTTCACTCCAACCTCTGCCTCTATCATCACATGGTGTGTGTCTGTATCCCTGTGTCTCCTCTTCTCTTCCTATAAGGACCATCACATTGGATTAAGGGCCTACTCTGCTCCTGCATGATCTCATCTTAACTAATTACATCTGCAGTGACCCTGTTTTCAAATAAGGTCACATTCTGAGGTACATATCTTCAGAAAGGACATAACACACAACATGATCTTACTGGCCCATTTTACATATGAGGAAAGTAAAGTCCAGAGAGCAATTGCCTGAGACCCAACAACTAGTAAAGTGATTATTCTATGGTGCTTCTAATTCTCTTTATCACACACTCTGGGCTTCCTCTAGATTGAGGGGATCATGTGTCTCTTCCTGGGGCTTAGGGATGGGAGGCCAGGATTGAGTCCAGCCTTTCACCCCCAACACTGGCCCTGCTTTCCCCAGGGCAGACCAGGCACTAGCTACTCTTACCATGCGAAAATTTTGCGAGGACAAGGTGGCCACAGAACTGCAGCCTTCCCAGCGCCGGTGAGCAGCCTGGGTGGGAATGGGCCAGATTCTCTTCTTCACGCAGCAGTAGCACAGCTTAATTGGGCAACTCCTCTGTGCCAGGCATTGTGTAGTGTTGAGAATCCAGAACAAACCAGGTCCCTGCTCTCATGGGCTTACATGCTAGTGGAGTAGAAAGCAACAAGCCTAGGAGTAAACAGAAATGATACATCATTTTGGATTATGAAGAAAATGAAGCTGAGCCTGTGATAAGAGATGTTCGGGACAGCCAGGGCTTTCCTCTATACCATGAAGCAGAGATCTAGGGGAAGAGCTTTCCAGGAGAGGGAACAGCAAGTATAACACCTTTAAGGCATCAAGAGAAATTGAAGTTAGATACAAGGAGGAACTTTCTGATAATCTGGAAGATGGGAGGGAAGTACAGAGAAGGGCAAGCCTTCCAAGTTTGGGTAGAGGGTATATATAGTTGAAATGCTCCAAGGCCCTTCTAGAGGGAGGGACTTACATTCTCTTTGATATTCCCCCACCAGATATATCAACTATTTCAGTGGGCTGCTGTCTGGCTCCATCAGAATGAACAGCAGCCCTCTTTTCCTGCACTATGTGCTTGTGCCCATGCTGCCAGCCTTTGAACCCAGCACAGGTGAGACCTCCGAGGTGTCCTCTGTGGGGAGAGCTACTTGCCACCCCTTTTCCACATCCCTTTTATGACTTCTCCTCTGTCCCTCCAGGCTTCCAGCCCTTCCTCAAAATATACCAGTCCATGCAGCTCGTCTACACATCTGGAGTCTAGTGAGTGCTCTGTTCCCAGGTCTGCAGGGCGGGGCTCCCCTCTGCTGCTCCATGGATGCCTACTGGTTTGGCCTTCCCAGACCTGGGCTCCCAGCTCTAGCTACTGAACCTGAGAACAAATACCATGAGGGAGCCCAAGTGACAGATGGGGAGCCTGAGGGTTAGCTGAAGATCCTCCCAGGGCTGACTGTGACCTCCCAGCTCCTGCTTCTGCTGCCCGCCTCTGCACAGGCCCCAGTGTCTGACACAGCTCTCTCTACCTTCTTTCTGCCCCCCAGTCACATCGCAGGCCCTGGTCCCCAGCAGCTTTGCATTAGCTTGGAGCCAGCCCTTCTTCTCAAAGGTGACGTCATGGTGAGCAAGGCCCTAAGTAATTTAGCAAGACCCTATCTAAGTATTAAAAAGGGCTGTGTGGGGGCTGGGGCTGTAGCTCAGTGGTAGAGTGCTTGCCTGGCATGTGTGAGGCACTGGGTTTGATTCTCAGCACCACATGTAAATACATAAAATAAAGATCCATTGACAACTAAACAACCTTTAAAAAAAATATTTTCAAAGGGAGGTGGTTTGGGGATATGATTCAGTGGGTTCAATTCTGGTACCAAAAAAAAGGGGGGGTAGGGGGAGTCCCATAGATGGAGAGGTCACTTTAAGCTTAAGGCATGGCAGAAGCTGACCAAGCATTCCCTGGGTAGAGGAACTGAAGAGGCAAAGCGGATGTGAAGGCCTGACCCCTGGCCTCCCACCCTCCCCAGGTAACCTGCTATCACAAGGGTGGCCGCGGGACAGACCGAACCCTTGTGTTCCGAGTCCAGTTCCACACATGCACCATCCATGGACCACGGCTTTCCTTCCCCAAGGACCAGCTGGATGAGGCCTGGGCTGGTGAGTCCAGCCAGCTACCCCCAGGGGCACCGCGAGGGCAGTYGGGGGGGACAGCGCAGGAACGTGGGTGGGGCCTGGCCGCTCCTCACTGTTCACTCCCCACAGATGAGAAGTTCCCCTTCCAGGCCTCGGTGGAGTTTGTCTTCTCCTCAAGCCCAGAGAAGATGAAAGGTAAGCGTGGGGGCTTGGGTGGGGCCCGAAGTCACGGGTCCGCTGAGCTTCAAGCCCTGGATGCCTTTTCCCAGGCAACGTCCCCCGGAATGACCCCTCAGTCTCCGTGGACTACAACACTGCAGACCCTGCCGTCCGCTGGGACTCGTATGAGAACTTCAATCAGCACCACGAGGACAGTGCGGACGGTGTGCACACTCCTTCCTCTTGGGCAGACCCCGGGCAGCTTCCAGGCCGTCCCTGCTTCTCACCCCGTCTTCTCCACGCAGGCTCGCTGGCCCACACGCGGGGTCCCCTGGACGGCAGTCCTTATGCTCAGGTGCAGCGTGCCCCCCGCCAGACCCCGCCAGCACCCTCTCCAGAGCCACCCCCACCCCCTATGCTGTCTGTCAGCAGCGACTCCGGCCATTCCTCCACGCTGACCACAGAGCCAACTGCCGAGTCCCCTGGCCGGCCGCCCCCGTCAGCTGCAGAGCGCCAAGAGCTCGATCGCCTCCTGGGAGGCTGTGGAGTGACCAGTGGGGGCCGGGGGGCAGGGCGTGAGACGGCCATCCTAGATGATGAGGAGCAGCCCCCCATGGGCGGAGGCCCCCTCCTTGGGATCTATTCAGGCCACAGGCCTGGCCTCAGCCGCCACTGCTCCTGCCGCCAGGGCTACCGGGAACCCTGTGGGATCCCCAATGGGGGCTACTACCGGCCAGAGGGAACCCTGGAGAGGCGGCGGCTGCCCTATGGGGGTTATGAGGGACCCCCGCAGGGCTATGCTGAGGCCTCTGTGGAAAAGAGGCGCCTCTGTCGATCACTGTCCGAGGGGCCATACCCCTACCCACCTGAGCTGGGGAAACCTGCCAATGGGGACTTCGGCTACCGCTCTCCAGGCTACCGGGAGGTGGTGATCTTGGAGGACCCTGGAGTGCCTGCCTTATGCTCATGCCCAGCATGTGAGGAAAAGCTGGCGCTGCCCACTGCAGCCCTGTATGGACTTCGGCTAGAGAGGGAGGCTGGAGAGGGGTGGGCTGGTGAAGCTGGCAAACCTCTCCTGCACCCAGTGCGGCCTGGGCACCCGTTGCCTCTGTTGGTGCCTTCCTGTGGGCACCACCATGCCCCGATGCCTGACTACAGCTGCCTGAAGCCACATAAGGCAGGCGAGGAAGGGCATGAGGGCTGCTCCTATGCCATTTGCCCAGAAGGCAGGTATGGGCATCCAGGGTACCCTGCCCTGGTGACCTATGGCTATGGAGGAGCAGTTCCCAGTTACTGCCCAGCATATGGCCGGGTGCCTCACAGCTGTGGATCTCCAAGCGAGGGCAGAGGGTATCCCAGCCCTAGTGCCCACTCACCACGGGCTGGCTCCGTTTCCCCTGGCAGCCCACCCTACCCACAACCCAGGAAGCTGAGCTATGAGATCCCTGCAGAAGAGGAAGGGGATAAATACCCACTGCCCGGGCACCTGTCCTCAGCAGGACCCTTGGCATCTGCAGGTGAGGGGCACTGGAATGCGAGTGCACAGGGTGGAGGAGGGTCCCRGAAGATGGTGGGGAAGCCAAGGGGGCACGGGATAAAAAAGAATTCAGCCAGACAGAAGAACCGCCTCCTGCTCACAGTCCTTCCTCTCCCCTTCACAGTGGAGTCACCTGAGTCAGTGTCCTGGAGGGAGGGCCCCAGTGGGCACAGCACACTGCCTCGGTCTCCCCGAGATGCCCAGGGCAGTGCCTCTTCAGAGCTGTCTGGTCCCTCTACACCCCTGCACACCAGCAGCCCAGTCCAGGGCAAGGAAAGGTACGCAGAGGGGCTGGGGCTGCTCGGGCAGGCATTGCTAGGGTGTGGGCAGCCCGAAGGAGGGACGCTATTCATCCATCTATCCTTCCACCCAGCAGCACCCGAAGACAGGACACCAGGTCCCCCACCTTGGCACCCTCTCAGAGACTGAGTCCTGGCGAGGCCTTGCCCCCTGTTTCCCAAGGAGGCACTGAAAAGGCACCTGAGCTGCCAGCTAGAAGTGGGCCTGAACCTCAGAGTCCTAGCCCCTTCTCCCCAGCCTCCCCTCCCAGCTCACCCAATGACTGGCCTCAGGAAAGAAGCCCAGGGAGCCACTCAGACGGTGCCAGTCCTCGGGGCCCTGTGCCCACTACACTGCCTGGTCTCCGTCATGCCCCCTGGCAGGGCCCTCGAGGCCCCCCAGATAGCCCAGATGGGTCTCCCCTCACCCCTGTGCCTACTCAGATGCCCTGGCTTGTGGCCAGCCCAGAGCCACCTCAGAGTTCACCCACACCTGCCTTCCCCCTTGCTGTATCCTATGACACCAATGGCCCCACTCAGCCTCCACTTCCTGAGAAACGCCACCTGCCAGGGTCTGGGCAACAGCCAGGACCCTGGGGTCTAGAGCAGGCATCACCACCGACCAGAGGTACCAGTCACCATGTCACCTTCGCACCTCTGCTCCCGGATAATACAACCCAACTGCCAGGTATAAGGGCCTTGAGAGCAGATGGGGTGACCTGGAGAGCCCATTCTCCCAGAGAGGGGCACTGGGGAGTCCTGGGGATCAGTGCTGGGGTCTGAACTCAGCCCCTCCCTGTCCTAGAGCCCCCTGCACAAGAGAACCAAAGCAATGTCAAGTTTGTCCAGGATACATCTAAGTTCTGGTATAAGCCACACCTGTCCCGTGACCAAGGTGAGAAAGCTTGTCCCCATCTCACCCTACCCTCCAGGGCATCTGCCCTGGCTTGGAAGTCCCATCTAGGTTGAATTCCTTGACTTTACCCTTAGCTGAGCCTCTCACCATCAGGTTAGACTCAACATGTTAAAGCTCCCATGAACTCTGAAGTTCTGTCCCCAGACTCCCACATCCCCCTACCATGGCCATCAGGTCAAAAGAGCCCTGGGTGCTTGTTGGCAGAGGAACAGGGTGTATGGGCTACTGTGCAAACCTCTCCTTGCTGCCCCTTACCCAAATACCTTGCAGCCATTGCCCTGCTGAAGGACAAGGACCCTGGGGCCTTTCTGATCAGGGACAGTCATTCATTCCAAGGAGCCTATGGGTTAGCCCTCAAGGTGGCTACACCTCCACCTAGTGCCCAGGCCTGGAAAGGTACAGAATACCCAAGGTTTGTGGGGTGGGAGTGGAGTGGGAGAAGCTACAGAGGCTAGGGGGTGTTGGGGAGACTCGTAATGGGGAGAGGCAGGAAATGACCTCTGCTGCTCAGGAGAGATTCCCATCAGGGGAGAAGCTGGGAGCCTGGAATCAGGTAAAGCTTTACTTTGTTCTTCCTTACCCTCATCTCAGGGGACCCCTTGGAACAGCTAGTCCGCCATTTCCTCATTGAGACTGGGCCCAAAGGGGTGAAGATCAAAGGTTGTCCCAGTGAACCCTACTTTGGTGAGAAGCAGGAGCCTAAGGAAAGCTCCACAGGGCTGGTTTAGGGAGAGGCCAAAGCACCTCAGGAGGGTAAATGGGAGATCTGTGGGCACCTCAGGACTTTCTCACCTCCTTCCCCACAGGCAGCCTGTCCGCCCTGGTCTCCCAACACTCCATCTCCCCCATTTCCCTGCCCTGCTGCCTGCGCATTCCCAGCAAAGGTGGGTGCTCCCCACCTCTCCTTACTCCTGTAGCCAAAGGGAGAATCCAGAGGTCCTGGCCTTCCCTTGGGATGGGGGGGGGGGGTTGTTCTCCAGCAACTGGGGAAGCTTCTTCCCTCCTGAACTTCCTGTTGTTCTTCATTTCTCTCAGATCCTCTGGAAGAGACTCCTGAGGCTCCAGTGCCCACCAACATGAGCACAGCAGCAGACCTCCTGCGCCAGGGTGCTGGTAGAGACCTCTCTTTCTTCTCCCTCTCTATGGGCACCAAGCGGGGCATTGTGAATGAGGTGGCCACTGACAGCCTTGGGTGATAGGCCCTGGCAGGTGCACTTAACCTATGAAGGTGGGAGAGCCCCATATTGGTTAGAGGGTGGGGAAGGGGAGTCCCCTAGGTGTTTTTTTTTTAAATATATTTTTTAGTTGTAGATGGACACAATACCTTTTTTTTTATTTACTTTTATTTTATATATGTGGTACTGTGGAAGGAGCCCAGTGCCTCAACACATTCTAGGCAAGTGCTCTATCACTGAGCTACAGCCCCAGCCCCCAGTTTAGGTTTTCAAGCATCATAAACATGGGCATCATGGTGAGGGAGGGCGGAGAAGGAAGATTCTCAGGCTTCTTCCCCGGGTTTCCAACACTCTAGATTATCTCCTAGGTGACTCTAGTGCGTTTTGACAGCACTGGCTGGGAAAAGTGCAAGAACTGTTGGGGTAGGAGACTCGGGTGATACAAGACCTGGGTACCATGCTCCTTMCTGACCCATTTCCTGCCCTCCTAGCATGCAGTGTACTGTACCTGACGTCAGTGGAGACAGAGTCACTGACTGGCCCTCAAGCTGTGGCCAGAGCCAGCTCTGCAGCTTTGAGCTGCAGCCCCCGCCCAACACCAGCTGTTGTCCACTTCAAGGTCTCAGCTCAGGGCATTACACTGACCGACAACCAAAGGAAGTGAGTCTGGGTGCCCACCCCTAGGGAACCCCATGTAAAGCCCTTGGGGGCCCAGATTTCAGAATAGAACCTTCCTTCCTCACCCGCTCCTTGCAGGCTTTTCTTTCGCCGCCATTACCCAGTGAGCAGCATCACCTTCTCCAGCACTGACCCTCAGGACCGAAGGTGAGGCTCCCTCTAAGCCCCTCCCCGCCCTAGCCCCTTCCAGGAGCTGTCCCCTGGGCTATACTCCTTCACAATTCTTCTCTGATTGCAGATGGACCAATCCAGATGGGACCACCTCCAAGTAAGCCTCCCCCACCAGCCCAAGCCTCCTCTCCAAGGGACAGGGTATCTCCATCCTCCCCAACCTGGCATGGATCAGCTCCCCCACCCACCAGCCAGGGACATTCCCCTGTAGAAGAGATGCAAGCACCCCACCCCTTTCTGATTTTGTTCCCATAGGATCTTTGGTTTTGTGGCCAAGAAGCCGGGTAGCCCCTGGGAAAATGTGTGTCACCTTTTTGCGGAGCTTGACCCAGATCAGCCTGCAGGTGCCATTGTCACCTTTATCACCAAAGTTCTACTAGGCCAGAGAAAATGAAGGAAAGCCACAAGCTCAGCACACATCAACACTGTGCCCCTTCCAGCACCCCACAGCCCTCACTTCCCCTGGCCCCAAACCAGGAGCCACCACCCTCCCTGAGAAGTGGGGATTGGGCAATGGCTTGGGCATTGCCCTTCCCCCAACCCCAGCCAGCTAAGCTAAGTGGATGGGCCCATGAGATGACCTTGCATGTGAGCAGAAGGCAGAGATGGGCGTATGACGGTGAGGAGGCATCAGCAGTTGAGCCCTGAAGGAAATCAGGACAGCCCAGCAGGAGAACATCAGCCCTGGAGGGGAACCAGGTCCTGCCAGCTCCACCCAGCAGCAGGTCCCAGCATGGCAGGGAGAGGGAAAGTCTGGGGAGCAAGTCACTCCCTCCCCTCTGAACAGAGATCAGAGTGGGATCTCAAGAATAAGGGGAAAAAAGAGAGTCTATTTTTGTCTATAATAAAGAATTTCTATAAACTTTCGTAGGAGTTGATACCTTATTCACAGAAGATCCGAGCCACATGCCTCCCGGGGCATACCTGTGCTCCCTGGGGGCATTCCAAGCACATGTGATCCCCTCCCTATCCTAACAGTGGTCCACATCTGCCCCCAGGAACAAGCTGCCCTCAGCTGCCCCTTGGCCCTGTCCCCTCTGTACTGCAAAGAATTCCTGTTCCAGCAATACTGATAAATACAGAAACTCCATCTTTATTGGCTGTATAAACATYTCTAATCTGTACATACATTTCATACATCATAGTGCAGGGCCTGACAGAGGGCCAAGGGCCCAGCAGCACAACAGCACGCCCACTTCCCCACAGCCCTACCCACTGTGCAAACCAAGGCCAACAGCTCCTGCTCCTTCTTCCTCCCAGCAGAAGTCAGTTTAGGGGAAGGGCTCAGGGTCAAGGGGGTAGAGGGAGATCCTAGGGCTTGGGAAGAGGAGGGTCTATGTAAGTGCTAGAATCAAACACTGAAGCAAAACAGGCAACTGGCACAAGCAGCAAGCTGGGGCAGGCAGGGAGGGGGCAGGCAAAGGGGAGTGAGGTGCCAAGCTGCCTCTCCAGGCTCACTTGCCACAGCATGAGACGTTCCCCGGAGCCTCAGTCCAGGAGCTAGGGACAGTGGTGCAGGTGAAGAGAAGATGGACAGCGAGGCAGGAGCAAGCCCGTTCCCACATCATCTCACAGCCCCTCCTTAAACACTGTGTACCATCTGCGTGTGCAAGGTGCAGGAGCCAGAGACTCGGATTCTCTGCAGGATGATGGTGCCTGAGCAGGTTGGAAGTGAGTATCTTTCAAGGGAAAGAATGGAGACCCAAGAAGAATCTATGGGGCAGCAGCCAGTGAAGGGAGAGGTGGCCCAAGAGAGGCCCCCTAGCCAGCCAGGGGGAGGACAGCAGCAACTGGTTCACTGTTCACGGTGAGGACAGGGAACAAAAAAAGAATTCAAGGGGAAATACCACGGTAAGTAGGAGATGGGCTGTCTCTACTCCACCCTCTGCAAAGGTCATGCCCCGACAGCAGTTGAGCCAGGGACTCATTCCACTCATGGGACCAGTGAGAGAGTGGGGGCTGCAGGTACACACTGACCATAGTAAGTGGGACCCACTGATACAGCAACACCATTCTATGGGCCTCTTCCTGTCCAACCAGGGACTCAGGCCCAGCAACTAATGATAAAGGTGACACCAGGTCAGAAAGGTGAAGTCTGATGTGGCCTGGATTGGTAAGGGGAAAGTGACTGTACCCCAGGGCCTGCTGGGTAAGCAATCCTGTGGAAGTCAGGAACTGGGCACCTGGCCCCGCAAAGGATGTGCAGAGGGAGACGGCGCAGGTCTGGAAAGCCCCTAGCCACTCAAGGGATGCAGGTCAACTTTGACTTTCTCCCCACAGCTCAGCATTCCAATGGTGGGGAAAAAGCCTCCAGAAGGTACAACAGCATCCTTCTTTCCGATGATCTTGCCATTCCGGGTGAAGAAAACCTGGCAGGGGGTGGGGGTGGGCGTTGCAGAATGGTGCAAGTTCTGGCCTCTTCACTTTTTTTTTTTTTTTTTCCGGTACTGGGGATTGAACCTAGGGGTACTCTACCAACTGAGCTAAATCTCTAGCCCTTTTCATTTTTTTATTTAGTGACAGGGTCTCACTAAGTCACCTAGGCTTGCCTCAAACTTGTGATCCTCCTGCCTCAATCTCCTAAGTAGCTGGGATCACAGGTATGCGCCACCGTGCTCAACCTCTGGCCTCTTCTCTGCAAACTGGAGTTACACATGCCTGAGGTCCATCACCTCCAACTCCTGGCATGGGCTCCAGGAGACACGTAGGGTGATATGAGAAATGGCCACAAGAGGGCATACTGAGGCTGGAAAACAACCATTGCCCTGTTTTCAAACCCAGTGACCTCAGGACACTCTCAGACCTTGCCCTTTCCCACCCTGGTCCTGGMCCATAGTCCTAATCCCACTAGTAACCAACCCCTGCCCAGCCCCAGGGCCCAAGAACAACCCCTAAATCACTACTTACCACCACCTTCTTGCCCTCATGCTCCTGTTCTATCTCTTCCCCATCTTCTTCCTCTTCCTCTTCCTCCTCTTCTTCTTCCCCTTCCTGGTGCAGGTACATGACATTCCGAACATTCCGAACAGCCCGCGCAGTCGGGGACAGGATCACTGTGTCACAACTGTCATCACTGTCCCCTAGGAGACCAGAAACCTGAGCCTTTGTGGTACCTCCACTGTGTCCTGAGCAGCTTGACTCTTCCCCATACCACTCACCTTCACTGTCCAGAATATAGTCCCGGGGAAACATGATTCCACAGCCCATAATGTCCCCTTTATAACAGCGTGGTCCAAAGGGGTCCCCCACACCACTGCCATGGAAGATCTTCCCATCATCTGTAGGAGGAGGGGAGAGGACACACTTAAAGGAGGCGCTGACATGTCCCCCATCCCCACCAAGGCCAGCCTAGACAACTTAATAATACCTGCCTCAAAATGAAAAAAGATGGGGAGAAAGATGTGGAAAGGGGTATAAGATTAAAAAGAAAAGAAAGAAAAGGGACACAAAACTGGCACAGTAGCACAGGCCTATAATCCCAGCAACTTGGGAGGCTGAGACAAGAGGATTGCAGCTCAGGCCAGCCTGGTAACTTAGCAAGACTCTGTCTCAAAATWAAAAAGGAGAAACTGGAATTCAGTGGTTAAGCACTCCTGGTTTCAATTGTGATACCAAAAAAAGGGGGGGGGGTGTTGGGAGGTGGGACAGACTATCCAACAGCTAAAGGGAGAACTATTAAAAAAAAAAAGAAAGAAAGAAAGGAGCTCAGCCCTTTGTGAGGAGTAAGCATGCAAGGGGAGTGGAAAGATGAGACTAGGAACCAAAGCTCAATTCTCTTCTCAAGAAAGCCCTAAAGGAAATGGAGCATACCAAAAAAAAGAAAAAGAAGAATCGGCAAATCTGCAGGAAGGGCGCAAAGGGAGCCAACTCAGAGGCCTGGAATGTCCAGTGTGGGCCCAGCTCGCCCGCCCCTGTCCTGCTTCCCTGGCTCTTAGGGTTGGAGGAAAAGCATAGATGAGGAGAAAGCATAAGAAGCATGAGAAGAGGAAAGAGACCATTTATAAGTGACCACGAAAATGGATGTCTCTCTGCCTTTATCTCCCYCACAATCCCACATTCCCAGGGCAGCCCTCTACTTACCTGCATGATAAGCCACAGACCCTCTGCTCCAGCCAGGGTGCCTGTTCTTGGGATAATCCTGCACCAAGAAGGGGAAAAAAAAAAATCCATGGGACCACACACATAAAAGAGAACAGGAAAGGCTAGACACGGTGGCATGCCAGTAATCCCAGCAGCTCAGGAGGCTGAGACAGGAGGATTGCAAGTTCAAAGCCAGCCTCAGCAATGGCAAGACGCTAAGTAACTCAGTGAGACCCTGTCTCTAATAAAATACAAAAACTGGGCTGGGGATGTGGTTCAGTGGTTGAGTGCCCGAGTTCAATCCCTGGTACCACCCCCCGACACACACAAAAAAAGAAAAAAAAAAAAAACAGGGAAAGTGACAACTGAGACTACAATTTTTTGTAACAGGTTATAACCCAGACAGCTGTACACCCACCCCACAGCCTCTCACATCTCAGGCACTGGAGTGGTGAGGAAGATGCTCAGCTTTCAAGGCCAGGGCTGCAGTCTCCCAACACCCAGGCCTGGAGTTGGGGCTGGGGTATGTGGTACACAGCCTAGGCCCTCCTGGTTTCCCCAAGAGCTTCCTGACTTCATCCCAACAGCCCAAGAGCTGAGGGGGCTTCATAGAAAAAAAGTCCAGCATTTGTGCCCACCTTCCGGGCCAGCCCCAAGGCAATGTAGCATTTCTCTCCAGGGTCCACAATCTCCACCTCGAAGTAGTGGCTGCGGGTACTCAGCGGGTGCCGGGCCTGGGCCAGTCCTACATCCACAATGCTCTTGCCCTTCCCCAAGTACTCCAGCAGCTATGGAGGAAGAGCAGTTGGTGATTAGGGGACTGGTTGACATCACACTGGAAACCTGGTCAGAGGGCAGTCTGGGTACCAGTTTCCTGTGTCTGAAAAAAACTCTGGCTGAAAGGAAAAGGATGCTACAGGTGCAACATGGCCTAAAATTCTAGGAAGGCATGGAAGAACAGGGACAGGGGTCAAAGGCAGCAGCATGAGCAAGAGGAGCCTTTTGCTGAACCCACTGCCTTCCTAGAACCAGACACCCCCACCCACACAGCTTGGTGAACAACATGGAGTATCAGAAAGTATGCTGGAGGCTTCTAGGCTGGCATTCCTTCTCTGACTAAGCCCACTGACCCTCCCTGCAGGGAAAGGGAAGAAAATAAACTGGACAACTTTCTCAGGGGGCTTCACAGGGACAGGGGACATRCAGAAACCAGGTGACAAGTCCATGTATTTGAGGGAAGAGAACAAGCTGAGAACCCAGTTCTGCCCAGAATGTGACTGACATAATCTCTCAAGGTCTTGGTTCACTTGGCCTTAAACAGAGCTGCTCATCACAGGGTCAGAGAGATGCTGAGGGGAGCCAGGAACCCAGAATGACCAGCTCTACTCCTTCATTTACTGGAGGGGAGGGTCAAAATGAAGACAGAGGGCAGGGTTTCCCGTTTCCAGGCCCTTGCTGCTCTTTCAGGCTAGAGCAAGGGTGCAGAGGTAGGAGAGGGGAGATGAATGATAGGTTCTCAGGGCTCTTCAGTCCTCCTGCCTGGGCATGATGGGGCAGCAACCCCCAATCTGGGAGGATTTATTTATCAGTTGCCATGGTAATAGAGGGGTTATGACTCAACCCCATCCCCTCTTTCCCCCACCCTCAGCATCACCTGGGATTCCTTAATCCCCTTTTAATTAGCTCAACTGTCACTCAGAGACTTTCTTCTACCCTCCCACCCCTGC